TTTGCTGAAAATCTCAATTTTCATTACATCTTGAAATGTGCGATTCAAAGCTTTCTAGAAGAGGTTGGTGACATTGGATATTCATCCCATGCCAATAGCTGAGAATCGTGCAGAAGGTGATATACAACAGGTTGATGTGGATTTATCTGTCATGTCTATTCATATCTATTTATTGGTACCTAGAATCTGACAGCATAGAGCCACAAAGTAAATATTCAGTTTATTACTTATGGTGTTAAAGAGTGAATTTAGGTTAAACTTTAAAAAAAAAATTATGTGGAAAGAGGAAAAATAGTCCAAGTTCTCAGTGAAGAACCTGTAACTCTTAGCCCCTCCCCCCCAATAGTTATAAAATTTTATTGAACATTTTAGAAATTATTTGCTAATAAATAGAATCAATTAAAAATTCTTTTTTTTTATTTATTTTTTAATTTGTTAAGTAGCAGACTGCAGTAAACTTACATACACACAATTTGAATGAAACTGAAATAGATCATATATGTTAGAGGGCTTGTCTAGGTAAATCAGCTCTTTGAAGTCATTTTTTTATTTTTTTTTTTTTTTTTTTATGATTTTCTGTAGGACAGGGGGTTGGTTGTCCAGGTCCAAGTGAGAGGGAAATGTATTATTCTGATGTCTTATTTCAAACTCAGTCAAATTGTGTGTGGGTCTGTACTTGTGTATATATTAAATGGCACAAGCACATGTAAGTCAATCACACACCACCCACTCGCACTGAACAGACATAGGGTGGCGCATGCAAAATCACACGCAGACACCCCGGTGGACATGAACAGACAGAGAATTAGCTCTTCTTTTATAATGTAGATTACTCTATGAAAACTTACGCAGTTCTAAAGAAATAACGATTAAAGCTTTTGTAGGAATTCAATAATATATTAACAATATCTGGAAAATCTATTGAACATTTGTTAATTGTTATTTTAATAAACAAATAGTTTTGAAATAATGATTAGCAGATGAATTTCACAGGTCATTACTTGTTCCTTTGCCCTGTTACTATGGTCTTGTGTCAAACTCTTAAGAGATATCACGTCAAAAACTTGATATGCGACACTACTAGTTATCTTCTGTCATGTTCTTGCTAACAAGACTACATCTTTTAGTTTTAGGCATTTAGTTGAAGGGAATGGAAAGATCAGAATCAGATTGTATTTTTTATTTTATTTTTTTTGTCATCTTCCAGGTTAGAAGGGCTTCTTTTTTCTTCTGCCTTGAAAATCAGCATTTGAAATCCTGGTTTTATCAGGTTTTGATGCTGGTAAGACTATATGAATATCTTTATCTGTGTACATAGGATCCTTCATGAGATCGATAAAAAAAGAGCATAGCATGATGAAAACGATGCCAAATTTGACCAAAACAAAATTTTATCGTCTAAATGTTTATTATTTAAGAGGAAAAATCAAAGTATTTTGGGGTATATTTTTTTTTTTTTTTACATTTTTTAATCGTTCCTAGCACGTCCAAATTTTTTGTTAAAACTCTTGTTTTTTTAGTCAGCAAAATTGACAGATAATCAACCATGTTCACCATTTTTTTCCATTTTATAAAAAAAAAAAAAATGAAAATCTCAGTTTGAAAATCTTTTAAGAATCAATTATAATTTTTTCAAAACTTATTTTAAGAAAATCAAAAATTATAATGTTTATTTAGAAATATTAAAAATATTTTAAAAATATTGAAACAAGCATTACTTAGTTTCTGCGCTGAAAAGATGTAGTTTGAAAATAAAACAAAGCAGGTCATAACATTTCACGTCACTTGACAGGTGACAAAAGACATTTTCATGACATATTGATAACTTACCTGAGGATAATTTATTCTACGGAAGGAGAAAAGTGAAATTATTTAGATTTAAGTGAACAAATTATTTACCTCATTATTTTTAAGAAAAACTTTCAGTGCTCTAATTTTTTTTTTGTACTTAGCTTTTACCTTTACGTTAAACATATTATGAAGAAAGTAAAATAAGACTGAGAGTGAGATTAAATTTCATAAGAAAGATATCTAATTAATTTACAAGTACCTTTCTTATAAAATTTTATCAGAAGTGTACATAAAATACAAATTTAAATTTCATAAGATGATACTAATACTTGCAGGTACCCTTCTCAGTTGAAATTGAAAAATCAAATTAACTTCGTCACACGTGTTTCGCAAAAATAAATCTATCTCAAAAGGACATTTACGAAACTGAATGCGGCTTTTAATTAATTTTATAATATTTTAACAACTTATATATAAAAATCTATTTATAATTAAAGAAATAACAGATAATTGTATTAAAAATTCAGTAATTAAGTTAAATACTAGACAGAATCTCAATCCACGTGGCGTTTTTTTTTTATTGCACGCATGATACTTCTGGTCTTCCATAGATTTGATTGTCGTATTATTGACACAAATTATATTTTTTTTTATATACTGGTGTTTGTTAGTTTGTAAGAAGCTTCAGAAATTATAATCTGTAAATATATATCTACTTAATAACAATATTTATTAAATTGTACAAACTTTTCCCTAATTTTAGAAGAATTAACAACATTTAATGTAAAAATAATTAAATATATCAGAAAAAAAAAAATTTGCCGTGACTTTAAAAAAGGAAAACATATTTATAAGTTCCATCATTTGTGAATAGTTTCTGAAAGTTTTATTAAAATCTGACAATTATTTTTATTTTTGCAAGATTTTTCCAAATTAATGTCTGTCATACAAAAAAAAGTGCTAAAAATTTGTTATTTTACTAGTTCTGGTGATACAAAAAGAAACAAGGTTTTTTAATCAAAAGTTAGAATGTTCCAAAAAGAAGGAAAATTTTAAAAAAATAATTAAAAAATAATTAAAAAATACTTTGATCTTTCCTCTTAATAATAACATAAACACTTAGATGCTAACATGTTTTCATCAAGCTTGGCATCTTTTTCATCATGCTATGCTCTGTTTTTAGTGATTTCATGAAGGATCCTATGTGTACAGGAGATACTCTACTTATAGGATAGGCTGCTGGTGTTAGTTTGTAAATGTCCATAAGTAACTAACAGTAAAACTATTTACAATATTACTCTTACTAACTTTATTACTGACACTGCCTTACCTGTTGGTACTTTTTAATTTTTTTTTAATCATTTGACCCCAAGCAATGTCACTAAGATGCAAGAGATTACTGAGAGTGAAAGAATATGAGAGAAAAACAAACATTGAAAAGAGAGAACAATAAAAAAACAGGAATTAAGAAAACAGAAGATAATGGTTGACATTGCATATAAATTTGTAAAGATCAAACTTGACAGGAAAGCAAGAAACCAGAAGTGAGAAGAGTGAGACAAGAAACTGTTAGCTTAGAATTTATGGTTGCATCTAAGCATTTCAACTGTAAAATGATGAGACCTTGCCGCTAATCTAGTACTGTCCTTAAATTGGTAAAGTCTCAGTACCACAGAGGAAAGTTCGTCAGAACAATTACCATGAAAGTATTTATAGAAAAGGCACAGGGAAGCTACATTATGGCAGAAGAAAAGTGTCCGAAACAGATGCCAGGTCAGGACTAATAACATTGCAGATTCTTTGTCTTTTATCAAGAATATTTTCCTCTTTCATGCCTCTTTACTCTTGCTCCCACTCTCTGTAACCCCTAAAAAAAAAAAATTACCAAGATTTTCTAAGAAGAAATATTTAAAAAATAATTTAATTCATTTGTGAATAATTCAGTAAAATCTGATAATTATCTGATTTTTTTTTTCTTTGCAAGAAAGTGTTTTAATATAAAAAAAGATGCTAAAATTTCACATATTAATTTTTGGCCCACCTGCTTATGCAAGAAAAACAAGATTTTTTAACTAAAATTTTGAACATGGTAGAAGATTAAAAAGTTTTTGGTTTTTCCTCTTAACATATTCATTTTGATGATAAAACTTTGTTTTTAACAAGTTTGGGGGCTTTTTCATCATGGTACTCAATTTTTAGAAAATATTTGGCGGTACCTGCACAAAAGTGATTTCATCTCTTACAGTTCATATAAGAAAAATGTTAAATATTTTTGTAAGTATATTGGTATGGTCTCTCACCAGTAAACCTTGTTGATTTATTTGTTTCTAACATTACCACACCATACTCCTTTTTAAGTTTTGCCACTTAGGCTGAACAATTTACATTGCTACCTCTTACAAAGTAGACAAGAGAGTTTAGTTTAATTTCCAGGTTATAGAAATTTGACATATTTGTTCATATCTCTGAAAGCTTACAACTTTAACATTTGTAAGTAGCAAGACTGTATTTGGAATACTATAGTAGATACATTTCTAAAAGTTTTATGAATGAATAAGAAATTGTACAATTTTTAATTATTTTTTAAAAAATCTGGTTCTAATGTACATTTAAAAAAAAAAAAAAAAATTTGTTCTAATACACAATTTTTGTTTTATAAGCAACTTAGGATTTTGTCTTGTACTCAGGCTGCTTAATTTCTGTACAAGAATTAGTACTCAAGTTACAAATTTAGGTCTATTAAATAGGGAAAAAAAGATATTTCAGTGAATTCTTGAATACAGTAGCAACTATTTGTTTACTAATATTTCTTTTTTTTTTTTTTTTTTCTCTCTGTTTTTTGAGTTACTTAAGCTACACAGATATTATTAAGACATTGCTTAAGATTTATTCAAATTTGAATGCAGTTGCTTATAAACAAAAATCATGTACTTCTGTCTCTGCAAATTCAAATGTTGAATTACTTGATCTTATTGAATTTTAATCAACATTGGAAGTAAAAACTTTATAATTAGGTAAACTCAAGCCACTTAAACAGAACAAAATTTACTGGGACTTGATTTGCAAACATTATTGATTTTCATGTTAAGATATTTATCAAACTGCTGTCCATGTAAAACAGGTTGCGATGTAGGTGTTATCAAAATTTCACTGCTCTCAAATTATTTCTTAATAACTTGAATATTTATTTAATTTTAATCAAATTTCAGGGAATGGTTGCTTGTTATCCTGGTAATGATACAAAATATCTTCGGCACATAGATAATCCAAATGCTGATGGTAGATGTATGACGTGTATTTACTACATTAATAAAGATTGGAATGTTGAAGTGAGTATTTACTTTTTACCTATGTTTTATTGATGTCATTAAAATGTGAATTCTTTTTTTTCTCTTTTTAACTACTGAAGTTTTACATGTTAACCCTATAGACTTGCCACTTCATATAACCATTTCCTGTTGCATTACATATCACATTAATTAATTTGATCATAGACAGTCAGTGCATGGTGGAGTAATGGATGGTGGTTCAGATTGAGGAATTGGAGAGTAGAGTTCAAATACCAGTTAAATTTGTTACATTTACCTGTGTGCAAATATCTTTGGGAAAGTTATGAATCCATCTCTTATCCCCTTCCTGTCAACTATGGGTAAAAAGCAGGACAGACTGGGTCCTATAGTTTTTGGATGGCAACATGTCTAGAATTCAAAACTTCCAACTATAGGTTAAATAAACCTTGCCAACCCATAATTGGCCAAGTGTTGTGAGTTCAGCTGCACCCCTGAAGATATGGTCAATCAGGGAAAGGTTAAAGAAGAGAGAAAGCTCTGGATCTGTTCCAATGAGCTTTCATCCATGGTACCTTTTTGTAGTCAGGAAAGACCACTGATGTTGACCAAAATAAGGGTGGGACCAAAATCAAAAAATTTGAGGTCTAGTACTGTGGTGGTATCTATTAACATTTTGAAAGTATTTTGATACATGTGTCCCAAAAATACCAAATTTATTCATGTTTTTGTTGTCTGAATTTATTTCATTTTTCTAGTTTGACAATGTAAATAATGAAATATAAAAAGGCCAAGGCCTTCTTTGTGGAAGGGTGAAGGCGAACTGAGTGAAAGAAAAAGTGGCGCCATAGCAAGCACCTGTAATGTAGGTGGCCCAGTCTTACATTTTAATCAGTTTCAAGAACTACAATGATCTGTATACCTTTATTTGTTATAATGGTGAAACAAGGTGAGACACAGCCTAGATTGTTATTTTCATTTTTAATTTCTGTAAGGATTGAAAAATTAATAAAACTTGCAAAGACCTACTGTCTCAAAATACATTGAATAAAGAAACAGTTCTTGATGAGTATGATAATGATCTAAGAATTTGATCATAATAAGATTTAAGAGGGTACCAGAAAATTGGAATTGGTACACAGGTACCATATTTCTTGTATGATAAGATGCACCCTATAATTACCTAGGTATTATTATTATTATTATTATTTTTTTTTTTTTTTTTTTTTTTTTTTTTTTTTTTTTAGGAAAAAAAATATTTGAGGATATAACTTACCGTACTAGCTAGTCCAAGTTGATGACTCTATGGTCTCATTTTTCTTTGTCACAACAAACTATATATGAATGATAATTGTAGTCTTGTATTATATTTGGGATTTGTGATTGCTTGTAACTCATGACTGGGGTTTGTGAGGGTTGGCAAACTCCTACAACTTGACCTTTCAGTGCTAAGATGCAGAGTGATTTTTGAGGGTATTTTTCAGGGAAAAATGTGTCTTAACATACTGTGGAGTGAGGGAATATGGTACTTGTCAAAATAGGTGAAACACTATTTGGTACCAGCATTTCAGTAGCTGGGTAAATTTCAAAACCCAACTGACACCAATCCACTGGTCATTAGCCTGGTACCTTACTTGGTACTCCATTGTGTATGAGTTTATTTGCTTAAAGGGTTGTCCCAAATACACCAGTTGCATGATTCATCCCTATAACTCAGCAATATTGGACATGAAGAAGACAACTAAATAAAAAATACAAGTGGTGTTTCACTAAAATATCCCCCTCCCCTTAATATTTTAGTACAGGGTACAGCTGTATGAAAATACCAAATTTTCAGACAGGGTGGTAGCATCTTGAAATGTCTGAAAGTACTACAGTGTCTTGGACTTTGGCATCCCCCTCCACAAAGACATAAAATAAATCGATCACTTCTCAATGTAACTTTCAGTTTTAATCTGGTATAACTATGAGGATCTGATTTTGTCTTCAGTTCTTACAAAAACTTCAGTTCATAAAATTAAAATTGTCTGTATGATAATCATAATTACTATATAATGGTAATTTAGTTTCAAACAAATTTAATGACTTCATTCATAAAATTAATTAATGCCTGGTCACTTGTATTCATGGAGACCTGTCTAATAGGGTGGCTAGCTTATCCCTATTGCAGATGCTTGCTCAGGTGCATTTTGTGTTTGTTCAACACCCACAAAGCTCACCTATGGTTTATAATACAAATGTGCTGAGCAGACCTTGGTTACAGTTTCTGGGAGAGAAGCATATTATCTAACGTAATCAAAAATCTGAACAAAGCCAGCACACTCAAGCCCTCTGTCATGATGATTTGTGACTTCATTCTAGCACAGCCATCAATGGCCCCTAAGGGTTCCATCTACCCAATTTCATTTACAAGGCTTGGGTTAAACTGTGCTATAGTTTTCAGGTACTTTCCAAAGGTACCACATACTGAAATTGCCTCCTCCAGACTGATAACATCAAAAGTCACCTTCCTGACAAATTGACCATGGCAAGATTCAAACCCGGGTCTCATGTTAAGAAAATGAACGTTCTAACCCTCGGCCACATGCCATTGCATTATGCGGGGTGGATTATTTGAATCCTTGAAATATTTTTTCTTTAGAGGATCTGCACCTTATAAAATATTTAATAGTTAACAACACTATAGGATTGGTTAGCCAGATTTCAAACTCTGGCTGATGACAGTTTGCCTTCATTTGAAACTAATGTCCTTGGGAAAGGCATGAAAGCAGTGGCAACTGTAACAAAAAGGGAAAAAGCTTTAGTGAGTGCAGTCAGCATATGACAAGTAGCAGCACTCAGCAGCAGGCAAGTCAGGTTCTCCACAGAGAATTGTCCTACAGGACAACAACTCAGTGGATTAAAGCATTGGTTCATAAATTTGGTATACAATGACATACTAATTGTTAGTTCAATTCTTGGACTGGGCAGTGTGTAACAAGACAAACAATAACAGAGCAGTACTAACAATAAGAACTAAACAAAATATCCCCAGACATGAGTAGTGGAAAATGTAGATTAAATAAATGTTTCAGTTTTAAATTCTCTGTGGGTTACAAGGATCAAAATATACCTTATGGCATCCGCAGAGCATAACGGCTGAAACATTGTGGTAGCAACAAACAAAGATGAGGACAATAGTTCAAATATAAATAGTATAAATAATCAATGGCTTATAATTCTTTTCTTTTTCTTTTTTTTTTTTTTTTACCTTCTCCTCCTTGCTTTCAGACTGATGGTGGTTTATTACGGATTTTTCCTGAAGGCCAAGAAACTGTTGCCAACATTGTTCCTAAATTTGATCGTCTTCTTTTTTTCTGGTCGGATCGCAGAAATCCTCATGAGGTCCAAGCTGCCAAAAGATGCCGGTAAGTTTCCTAATGTTTTTCTAAATTTATGCTTGAACATGTCTATATCTAATATACTGTATTTTGATGCTTATAAGACACTCTGGTGCATTAGACCCCCCCCATTTGAAAGAAGAAATCGTAAAAAGTTTTACCTTGAACTTCATAGCCCTCCCTGCTTTCCCTAGTTTTACCTACTAAATAGCATATTTCAGTCTGAAAACCTGACTAGTCATAAAAAATTCATCACAGACTGAGAAATATCCAATTTATGGTAAATTGCCCAGTTCACACACCTCCCTGAACTTTTGAACAGGAGTAGAGGTTTCTCCCTTATTTCCATTTTAGGATTGGGCTTCCAGTTTCTTCTAAAGTTTTCTTGTTCTCTTTGACTCTCAGTAACCCATTTTATCATAGTGGCATTATCGCCTTGCTTGGGGTGAAATGATTAAAAAAAAAAAAAATTTAGAATGTACTAAGAGGATCCTGGAGTGCATATTGATGCATCATTGTCAATGACAATTAAACAAAAATAGCTGTTGGTGGGCTACTGTATTTCCTCGGCAATATTTGACACCTTAAGTACATAAGTATATAAAACCCGTGTCTCATTTCGCTCTATATGAAACCCGTGTCTCATTTACGCTCTATATGAAACCCGTGTCTCATTTACGCTCTATATGAAACCCGTGTCTCATTTACGCTCTATATGAAACCCGTGTCTCATTTACGCTCTATATGAAACCCGTGTCTCATTTACGCTCTATATGAAACCCGTGTCTCATTTACGCCTATATGAAACCCGTGTCTCATTTACGCTCTATATGAAACCCGTGTCTCATTTACGCTCTATATGAAACCCGTGTCTCATTTACGCCTATATGAAACCCGTGTCTCATTTACGCCTATATGAAACCCGTGTCTCATTTACGCTCTATATGAAACCCCGTCTCATTTAAGCTATATGAAACCCGTGTCTCATTTACAAGTTATATGAAACCCGTGTCTCATTTACGCTATTTCTATATGAAACCCGTGTCTCATTTACAAGCTATATGAAACCCGTGTCTCATTTACAAGTTATATGAAACCCGTGTCTCATTTACAAGCTATATGAAACCCGTGTCTCATTTACAAGCTATATGAAACCCGTGTCTCATTTACAAGCTATATGAAACCGTGTCTCATTTATTATGAAACCCGTGTCTCATTTACGCCTATATGAAACCGTGTCTCATTTACGCTCTATATGAAACCCGTGTCTCATTTACGCTCTATATGAAACCCGTGTCTCATTTACGCTCTATATGAAACCCGTGTCTCATTTACGCTCTATATGAAACCCGTGTCTCATTTACGCTCTATATGAAACCCGTGTCTCATTTACAAGCTATATGAAACCCGTGTCTCATTTACAAGCTATATGAAACCCGTGTCTCATTTACAAGCTATATGAAACCCGTGTCTCATTTACAAGCTATATGAAACCCGTGTCTCATTTACGCTCTATATGAAACCCGTGTCTCATTTACAAGCTATATGAAACCCGTGTCTCATTTACAAGCTATATGAAACCCGTGTCTCATTTACAAGCTATATGAAACCCGTGTCTCATTTACAAGCTATATGAAACCCGTGTCTCATTTGCAAAAATTGTGGTGGCAAGTTTAATTACAAATTAATGTCACTATAGAAATTTATTGTGTGGTATCCATTGCTTTTGAGAGAGCCTGGATCTACACCGGGTGGATTTTTTAAATTCACCTTGTAGTGGTAGTGCATCATTTGTACTTTACTAATTGGGCACAGTTGAAGCAATGTTGGACAGTTCTCTCCTAGACAGGATTTTTTTTTAATGAATGATAGACAGTTACCCATGCAACATGTCTCTCCTGGCCACTATTCAGATATTGTATTGAAAATGAATGATTAGAGCAAGCTCTTTAACACACTGACAATCGTCAACACACAAATGATTGTCAAATGCAATCTTCTTACAAACTTGAAACATACTATGTACAATTTTTCTACTTCTGGGACCCAACCCAACGATTGTCCTTTTAGTTATCATCTGCCAAATCAAAACAAACCCTTGTTTCATCTCAAGTAACCACTGGACTGCACCGAATGCTTCTCAGCTATTCCCGTCATATGCCAATCATTAATCTTCCTTGATACAGTTGTCCATAAGAAGGATTAGGATTGATATAGCTTGTCACTAGTGTTGTTACCAGAATATGGTTGGATACATCAAATTGCCTTTGGCAGTCAGGCTCCAGATTTTATCCTCAAGGCTTACTTCTAAAACCTTTGCTTTGGATATTATGGCTGCATGGCAGTGAATATTTGAAATCAGTTTTCCTCCTCTCCTAGTTTCATTTACCCAATTTAAACATTGCTGTTCATGTATTTTGAGTATATCCATTCTGGTATGATCACTGAAGTTAAGCAACAAGTTGAACATGGTCAATACCAAGATGGGTAACCACTTGGGAATACCAGGTGCTGTAAGCTTGGGTGTGCAAGTTGTGTAATGCCTTGAAGTTGTTAATTAGACAGCAGAATTCCAATTCTGCTTTGGTTCATTATATTCATTTACATGCAAATACCTTGGGAAAGATATGAATCTACCTCTTCTTCTAAATTAGTAAGATTTGTATCACTAAATCATTATCTCAAAAAAACAAAAATTATCTGTCTTTAAATAACCTGCAAAGGATTGATAAGCCATAGAAAATGAATGAATGAATCAATCTGTTAAAAGGTGATGGTTTCTTATTTAAAGAATGTCCTAGTATTTGTGTCTTAGTCTCTAAAATGCATCTTAAGTATATCAGAAATTTTTTACAGTTTGATATGACTTTCATCTCTGTTGTTTCAACTTATTGACATAATCAGCAGTCCCATGACTGAGTGTGATCATAGGGTCACTGCACAGCTCCCTCCACATGTCTCCATTGCATGCCAATATCTGTGTTGAAAGTTGGAGAAGTATTCATTTATGCACAGCCTGTCATGTTCAAGTAGACCTGGTGGAGCCCATTCCTCTCCAAGATAGACCACCACCAATATCTTCAGACTTGAAGGATCACTTTGCTCCCAGACATGTAGCCCTTGATTCCATAGTGGGAGCCCTTAAACCTGGTTGACTTCAGTCTCAGAAATCTCCTGATGTCATGTCATTATTGCCCTGAATATACTGCCAGTAGTTCAGTCCCAAGAGAGAAAGAAAATGAATGAATATTGACAATACAACTGAAGGACGATATTGTTAATATGCATTCTTATAAAAACAAAAAAAAAACAAACCCAAAACCTTTGTAGGTGTTGGAATTCTTCATAAGCTCTTTATTCAGGGTTTAGTTATCTTAATGTTTTTTGTTATATCTGTAACATACTTAAATATTTGGTGTTGCCAACGATGTCAATATTACTTGTGTGAAGCTATTGTTCAAATTATAGTAGCATTTTGGCGCTGTGTGAAACAATCCAAGGGCACTCATGGCTTAATGTTAAAAAAAACACTTGAAGCTGTAAATCATTTGTGATCTGCTAAAAATCTAAAAAAATTGAATCTTTTTCAGAACATTAAAATTTCTTTACTTAGTTTTCAGAAATTAATTTAACTCCCATTTAACTTAACAACTTTTATGGACATATACTTTATTAAACTTCAGTTTGGAATTATCAAATAACATTAGTGTGCTGCATTTTAAGAATTATGTAGTTTAATAAAAACTCTTTAAAACTACAAAATAATGGCAATCCTGATCAGTGGAGAGAGAGGTCTCCCTGCCCCTAATTTGTCAGTTTTATTTTCTATCATTTAAAAAATTTCCTTAATGGAAATGTCCTACCTGATGTTCAGGCTCGATTATAGTAAAGTGGATATTGTAATGTTTGTAGTTAAGGAGGTAAGATGAGATATGTTTTGGTATTATAACCAAATTACTAATCTCATGTCTTGACAATGTACAACCACTAAATATTTAGTTTGCTTATTTCTCTTTAGTTATGCAATTACTGTTTGGTACTTTGATGCTGAGGAGAGAGCAGCTGCTATGAAGAGACTTTCAGGTAAGTGTTCACTTTTGTTTAAAACCAAAACAATGTTGAATTTATAACAGATTGTCAAATGAATGACCAAAGTTTCTAATCAGGCCATTTGTATATAGTAGTCACCTTCCTTCACTTATCTGGTGTTGGGGGGATATGTTTTTTTTTTTTTTTTTTTTTTTTGCATAATATTCATAATATTTTTTCCTTACAATAACTGCCACTCCATGGTGCTTCTTATCTCCAGAAAACCAAATTTTATGTCCATCTTGTGTAATTGTTTCTCCAAAACCAATCAGACATCAAACATCCCAATGATAACATTTCAATTTGGAATTGTTGATGACTGCTGTTGATAGACTGTTGTGGAAAAGACTGTGGCTTCTGTATTCGAATCTGCCCTATGATTACAAAAGTCAAGGGGATGATGATGATTCATCTATATCTATAATTCTCAAAATCTGTTTGTACGTATGTGATCAGATCTTGTTTATGCATTTCCAGTTTTCATCTGATTTTGATGACTTTTGTTTTGTTTGATAGATAATTCTTCAGTGCCAGTTTTAAGTCCAAATTGTTGGTGACAATGGCTCTTCACTACATCCTGTCCATTATAACTCTCAGCAATGTTTTACTATTTGCTATCTATTCTTGGATATATATCTTTCATAAAAACTTTAATAAAAATAAATAGTTTAAATTATTATAAAAATATTATCTATATCTATAATTCTCAAAATGTGTGTGTGTGTGATCAGATGTTGTTTATGTGTTTCCACAGTTTTCATCTGATTTCGATGAAATTTTTTTTGTTTGATAGATAATTCTTCAGTGTCGGTTTTGAGTCCAAATTACACATTACCCTTCTCTTGGCCAAGCAATCAATCTCTCTCAAGTGAGGTTACCTTTTTCATTGCATAAAGTCTACTACTACAGTTTTAAGGACTTACTTTTATTGTTGTTTATAGCCATTTCCAATTTAAATGTTTTTATTTTCCTGCCAATTTTTGCATTGCATTGCATTCACAGCAGTAATAAGTAAGCTTGCTTTTTTATTACTCAACATTTATTTTTCCAACCTTTCCTAAAGTTATTCGAGCTTAGTGATCCCTGTAGCTTTATAGCATTCTCTTCTGGTATTTGCCCACGCATTCCATTTGACAATTCATACTCGTCTAAGACATGCCACCAAAGAAAAGAACTTGCCTAGGTTGCAAAACTGCTGCCATCAGGTCCGTCATGCGAATAAGAGATAATGAATCGTCTTTAGAATGTTCAGTTTGCCTGTCTCAAAATGCCTCTTCTGCCTCAAAATGCCTGATCTTCAATCAGAGCCACTGAGTCTGAAGATCAACGTAGCCATCAACTTTCCAGAAGAGCATACCTGAACGTTTCTGTGTGTGAAGCTGAAAATGATGATCAAATGACTTGATGGCTAAGGAGAAACGCCTTTTCAACTGCTGCTGTGCATGAGGCTAAAACAAGATTGAAAATGCAAAAAAGGCCCTTTTAGCCCCCCCCCAATTGTTAACCCCCCCAATTTGGGAATGTGCCTCAATTGTTGTTACTAATATTAATGATCGGGTGGGCTGACTTTAAACTTATACTGCTCCAACTGAACGGTAAAAATGAAAGAACTGGTCAAAGACTGGTTATCCTGCTTTAATATACTGAGATAAAGTCTATATAACAACAATAACTACTAATAAATAGAAGAATTGTAACTGTAATAAATTATGTGGTGGATAGATTTGTTCTTACTGTAACACTTTGCTATTTTTTTTTCTTATTTAATTTCTGCCTCAATTTCTGGGATGAGAAGTTATCATTATTTTGAAGTTGAGTTATTTACATTTTGCTAAAAATTCATTGATATCAGAAAGATTTTATAATTAAAATAACTTTCTTTTTTGTTTCTAAATTCGGTCTTTAATTATTTTTTTTTTATTATTACAGTATTTTTATAGTAGTTTTGTTTTATCCTTATTTTCTTATAATAGTATTTCTATATTAATTATACTCCATCTTATTTCTGTTCCCCCTCTCAAATCAGACTTTATATTTATTGTTTGCTGTGAACCAGAGTGTTCTAATAAAAAGAAGTAATAATAATACTAATAAAATAATGACAAAATGTTTCTTTTACAAAAAAACAATGTAGAAGTTTATCTATTGTTTCTTGTTTAGGATTGAGTTTCCATTTCCTCTATACTTCTAATATCTCTGCCTAAACACTGAAACTTTATTTACTGTTTGTTTATTTTTCCTCAGTGGGAGTAGATAGGTTTGCCTGTTATCAGCTTCACAATCCTCCCTGGTCTTTTGAACGGGAGTAGAGGTTTTTCTCTTGTTTTGTGTTTAGGATTGGGTTTCCTTCTAAAGTCTTTTCATTCTCTTTCTCTCCTAGTAACCCCTTGCATCTTAGTGGCATCATTGCCTTGCTTGGGGGAATTGATTAAGACGATAAATAAAATAAGATAAAAATAATTTGAATTATCTTGTATGCAAAAACAGTAAAATATACTTTTCATTAGCCATCTTGGATATGAAAAAATTTCTTCAAATCAACGTTACAATTTTGAATGCTGTTTAGTATCCAAAACAAAAACGGAATATTTTTTTTCTTTTTGTTTTTAGATATAAATTTTTTAATTGGTAACATACAATATTTCTATCTTTGAATATGATTTTTTGCAACAGCTATTTAACATTTGTCTGAATTTCCTCCAGTATAAGGCATTACTGTCGATTACAGTCAAACTAACTTCCTTCTTTTTGTTACTATCACAACATTTCTACTATTGGGAATAGTTTTCCCAATAGTTATGCCAAATTGGGAAAACAATGCCTTAAATTTTTGGAAAATGATCTTTGGCAAATTGTGCTGTTAAAAACTCCATTTAAATTTAATACTAAATAATCACACTATCTACATAGGTTGGACAACAATGGATGATGTTTATTATTATCATTATTATATAGAATATTTTAGGAGAAAGAACTCTGACAAAATGGAAAGTTTTTGTGTGACGACTTTCATCTTTTAGGGCATCAAACTAAATTTATTTTTATATTGATGCGACTACATATGTTCACAAAGGAAAGGGCTTCCATTAAAAACAGAAAATGGAATCAACCCTGTTTTTTTAAACTGGAGTACAGGTTGATCCCTTTTTCCTGTTTAAGATTGGGTTTCCACTTCCTTCTAAATTCCAAATCAATTCTATACTTCTAACCTAAAATCTGGAATTTACATTATTATTGGGTTTACTTCTACAGTTACTTCTAAAAAGTATTTTCTTTTTCTTTCACTTCCAGTAGCTCCTTGCATCTTAGTGGCATTATTGCCTTGCTTGAAGCAAATTGATTAAAAAAAACCAAAAAAACCCTCACACCTTCTTAACCATTAAACAAGTTTTATGCCACTCTTTGTGGTTTCCTTTAATACAGGAGTCCCAAAACTTTCTAGACCGGCAACCCCTTCATGGAATCTTTGATTCCTCATTGACCCCACCCTCAGGCATGTAGAAAAAATATATATATATATATATCTATATATATGTAGTAATTTTTTTTATTATTATTTAAGGGTAGAAATTACTTTTTCTTTACTTTCGTTGTTAATTGGATTTGTTTTTATATTTTGTTATTCATTTTTCAGTTTCTATTTCTCTTGTACTAGGTGTGTTTGTTTGAATAATAATGAAAAAAATTAGAAATAATATAGGTAATAATAAACAAATTAAAAATAAATTAATATACCTTTTTATGGAATTGGTTAATGGGAAGGATGTGTTTGATGGACAAGAGCATTGGCATTTGATTAGAAATTGGTGAGTTTAAATTTATTTTTATATTAATGATGACACTGTGCACAAAAAAAAGTCATAAATCACCACAATTTATTTGATCCACTTGAATATTCCCATTAATCCTCAGAGATTGATATTGGTCTCTTTGGTGATTCCTGCTTTAATGTCTGCTTTGTATTTTGCTATAACTGTATTACTTGATATTTTATGTTTGTGTTTAATTCTTCTAACAATCCATGCAAATAGAAATGAAAATATGGAAAGTTTTTTTTTCTCTTTCAGGCCAAAACAACAACAACAACAACAACAACAATAGCGGATCAAAGAATTTGACAAATCAGACAAACAAACAATAAGTTCTCTACAGTAGAGAAAGTAACCGGCTGAAAATGGGAGCTGAATTTTTCTTTTTCTTTCTCCTTTCTTTCTGGTCAACCAATAACTTGGCTTTTCTATCTTATTACTCGACTACAACTACTACTGCTGCTTCACTCTTTTCTTCAAATTGTTTGATGTTGGTTAAGAAACTAACCTTGCAGAATGGCAATCATTCCAGGGAAGGGGTGGGGGGTGAGGGACAAACGAATCTTAGGTTCAGTTTTATAACCTGGACAATTTCACTTTTTACCAAATTACTTCCATAAAATTGACAATGTATTTTCAACCTTTAAATGCCTTTTTATTATTTAAATACCTCTCGGAAGTTAACTTATTTATTACAAAAGTATATGAAAACTTGTCAGTAGTTGACTGATAACAAATTGTAAGCATTAAAATATTACTGTTGTTAATACAATTTTTACATATGGAGATTTTTTTTTCTTTACAATGACATGCAGGACTTCAAACACTGATTTTAATTTTATTGAATAACTTTGTAAGGCTTAAGTTGAAACTTAAAATATATTAAATCAAATTAAATTTGTATTAGGTTTCCAGTGGCTCTCTCTTTTTTTTTTTTTTTTTTTTTTAAACAATAGACTGAAAACCTTTTTGCGGATACTGCTAATATGTAAGCAGGAAAACTGCCTTATATTGTTCTCTATTCTATTTGTCAATTTTTCTAGTTTTTAAGTTTCAGGGCGGTGGTTTTTCATTTTGTTCTTTTGTTAAATTTATTTATTTATTCATTTATTTTTTGTGACAATAATTTTCATGAAGGGGAAACAACTCTGTCTCATTTGTCAAGCTCTATTGATGCAATCATGTTTGTTGCTGCCGACATTCATACTAAACTCTTCCAGTTGAACCCATTCAATTTTTAAACCAAAGAATTTCTAAACCTATTTAAAATTTCGCTTCTGAATTTTGGAGATCATAAAATTTGTGAAATCATAGATATTTACAAAAGTTTCTCAAATTACCAGCTCTGTTGTTTTTTATTTTTTTATTTATTTACTTTTTTATTCGTTTAATAATTTAATCACAAACAAGGTGGTAATGTCACTAAGATGCAAACAGTTACTTGGAGTGAAAGAGAATGAGAAAACTTTAGTGAGGAGAAAGGACAACAAAAGAACAATTGTGACTGTCATGAAATTAATTAAGGAGAAAAAGGCAAAAATAATAATCACTGCCTTTGAGAGTGTGGTTAAGGCATAATGTAGCCTCAGGATAGTTCAGTGGAAGTACATGCAGGGACACTTATCCATGCATAACATAGTCACATAATATTGGGATATTTGATGTGTCAAGTGCTACCAAAAAGTCTAGGCTCCTTAGCAATCAGAAAACTGCCAACCCAGTACCTTCATAATAAAAAACAAATCACAGCCACTTATCAGTCAAATCACCAAAAACTTAAGACATTTTTTACCTTGTTAAGGTTATGGAAGAAAGGAAACAAAGGATAAACCCTTAATCCTGTTCAATAAATATGGAAGGAGTATTGGTTGGGTGATAAGCAAATCTTTTTTAAGTTTTTACACATTAAACTTCTAATACTGGGTGCAATGGTTGCAATCATTAAAAACAATTACACTGCTTAATATGTTAGCAAAATAAATCCGTTTACATGAGCAACTTTGTACTAGTTATTTCTTGCTCTTTAGACAGGTAGTTCTCAAATAGTAAAATGTCCAAGTATTGTTAACTTGTCGGGGATCAACAGAATATGGATATTCCTGTAGCAATTTCTGACCATTTGAAATGATTTGAATGCATTTTGAGCCTGCTTAGATAATAAAGACAAATTAAAATTTAGAATTAGGAAAATCTATTTTCCAAAATTTAAATAAAAATATCCATTATATAGGATTAATACAAATGTAAAAATTGTCACTTAGCTGATTGATGTTATATTCAGCACCTTTACTCCAGAGTTTCATAGACAAACTTCTGTGTAATTGTTTGGTTCATCATCTGGAGAATTAATTTCCAACTTAACAAAAGATTCTCTTTTTTTTTTTTCTTTCTTTCCTTTAGATCAAAACATTACTTAAGGTTTGAATGTTTCAATATTATGTAAGTAAGCACATAGGAAAGGCTTCATTTGAACACTAGATGTTTCAGATAAGAGTTAAATGCAGTATATACTTTGTAATCAAGTATTGTTGAGCTGTACCCAAAATATAAAGTAATTTCTATGGAGTTTCTAATGGATTTTCTTTTTTCTGAAATTAAGGCAAACTTTCTTTTAAAATTTTTGAATTTTTTATGTCTGGTAGACATAACTTATTTTTATTTAAAAGCACAAAACACAGGAATGCTTACTCAAACATGTGTATCCACTAAATAAAAGGTGTATCAGAAATACCTCTCAAATAATGGCAATACATTAGCTACAGGATGTGGCAGAAATACCACTGACATTTTAAATAATACATTCAATAGATGAAGACGTCATTACCACTGGCCTAAGTTTAATAGCACCACACAAGTGACAGTTTAAAATATTGAGGTATTTCTGCTGCACCCTGTATAAGGTTTATTATAATAATATATATATATATATATATATATATATATATATATATATATATATATATATATATATATATAGTTTATGCAAAACTAGGTAATCCGTATTGGTAGACCCAAAGAGGATGATATCCGGAGAGCTCAATGTAAATTCAGAGCAAATATGTTTGAATAAAAATCTTACCACTTTAAGGTTCCATGTAATAAAAAATGAAATTTTTCATTTTTCATTTCAACCTTTAAGTAATGTCTGATGATCCAGAGCCCTTTAAAAGGGGCTGTGGTGAAATAATTTATTACATGGAACCTTAAAGTGGTCTGTTTTTTATTCAAACAAAAATAAATATATATATATATATATGGGAAATTGTATGGCAAAACTGAAAACTTTGCTTGTGATGTGTTTTGTCCTTTAGGACTTCTTCAGACCCCTTATTCATGCGCATATGCTGTCCTACTAACATAACAAATTTTGTCCGATGAAGTCCTGAAAAACAAAATTTGTCAGAAGTAAACTTTTTCCACTTTGTTATAAAATTTACCCAATATTGTTCTTGATATATAAAAATATATATCATTATCTCATATAGATATACAGGGGGATTGAAAAGTAACACCCTATTTAATGTCGATAGGCTCTCCCATCTAACTATAATTTTTATAAGACAGGAGAGTCCATAATACATAAAATAGGGAGTTACTTTTCAATTACCATATATATATATATATATATATATATATAAGGGAAGAGGGTTATAGTTGTTCTAACAAGAGAAAAGTGTATATATTAAAAAGAAGGGAGAAACTGCAAACGTTTTTGGTTGTAAAATTATGCTTTATTTTCCATAAAAAATCCACATTACAACCAAAAATGTTTGCAGTTTCTCTCTTTTATATATATATATATATATATATATATATATATATATATAATTATTTATTGCTGGTGTTAATAAAACAGTGCCCAATGTAATATAACAAAACTGTTAAGTATATATTAATATACATATTATACCTCACTGCTAGCATGACTGAGTTTCATGCACAGTGCAATCTTCAGGTGCTAAGTATGAACTGTCTGCTACAGAATTTTAATTTTAATATTAATATATCTGGTTATCACAATGTTGGTGTAGTTATATAAATATGCTGGGGTTACAGTTTTTTTGATCTTAAAAATTATATTTGGCAATTAAAATAAGTGGGTGTGTGTGTGTGTGTGTGTGTGTGTATATATATATATATATTTGTGTGTGTAAGAAAAAAATAGGAGGCCCAGTAGAATAATGGATAGCAGCTTGGAATGGAAGAATCAGAGAGCCGAGTTCAAATTCCAGTTGAATCCATTACATTCACTCATAACCCTTGGGAAAGGTATGAATCCTCCTCTTCTCCCCCCAGCTATGGGTGAATAGCAGGACAGACTGGGTTTTATAGCCTTGGGTGGCAACCAGTCTAAGAGAAGGAAAAACTCTGAATTCAAAACCGGCCTGGAAATCTTGTTGAAAAACTGGTTATCTTAAAACACTTAAATAATCTAAGCTTACTAAACAAGAGAAATGAATTGATGGTTACATGTAGGCATAAAAATAAATATCTGCTTAAATACATTGATCAAGATTAATTTTTAATGTAAATTACTATTTATTTTGAATATAAATTAATGTTTATTTCTTCTTTTTCTTTTTTTTTTCAAATAAGAACAAGTAACACTATTTAGGACTCAGAGTGTGAGTTCAATACCCGGTTAAGGCAGTAGAGAACTTTCAGAGGGGAATTTACAGGAGATAACTGATAACTGACATCCATTAAACATAGCACGTGGAACTAGAACAGTCTACCCCAGTGAGCGAAATAAAGGGTTCAGTTTGACATTCCAACCACCTGAAGAAGGCCGGAGCGTAATAAATATGGCCGAAACATAATAAATATGGCGACAAAGATGAGGACAATAGTCCGAATAATGTAAATAGTGTATATAATACCTCATCTCAGAAATATAGACAGATGCTGAAGAACAAGTAATCTTCCTTTTAATTAAAAATTTAAAGAAAAAATGAATATTCACAACTGAAAAATAAAATTTTTTTTATTTAATTTTTTTTCTTACATACATATATAAATCTTGCTTATTTTAATTGCCAAATATAATTAAAAAAAAACAAACAAACTGTAATCCAAGCATAATATATAACTATCCCAACATTGTGATAACCAGATATATTAAAATTCAAATTATGTAATGGTTGATTCATACTTAGCACCTGAAGATTGTATTGTGCATGAAATTCTGAGTAATGCTAGTGGTAAGGGATAATATGTATATTTATTAATGTGTATGTAATAGCACTGTTTTATTAACACCAGCACTATATGTGTGATATATTATCATAATATATATGATAATGTTATGTTTTGGCAAAAAGTGGTTGACCAT